GGTGGGGGGGGGGGCGGCGTCGGAGCCGGAGGGGGCAGCCGCGGGCGACGGCGGCGGGGGCGCCGAGAGCGACGAGGAAGCCCCGTCGATCTCATCGGGGCAGAGCGAGGCCCCGCTGCCGTCGCTGCCGACCGACGGGCCCGAGGAGGACACCCGGCTCGAGGCTCTCCTGTACTACGCGGCGCAGGTCAGCAATAGACATGCAAACGGAACGTACAGCACTAGTTGACGTATCAAGAAAACCTATGGTCTCTTGGGTTCTTGTCTGGGTGGTTGTCATTGCCAGAAAGATTTGGCCTTGCGTTGCCGACCCTTCCCAGAGGGCACGGTACGCTCGATTTTTTGCTAGTGTCCAGGCAAGATTATGATCATGGTTTATGCCATATGAGCGCATAATGTTGCCGATATCTAATTACAGTAGGTGTCCCGATATAGTGCCGGTATGTGTCCAGGTGATTTGACCGGCACTATACGGGGCGCCGGCACTATTCAGAGTTGTGCTTGAAAAGGCCAAACTGGCACTATTCAGGGCCTGAAAATCCCTCTATAGTGCCGGCTTGGCACTATTCAGGACTTTCGACTTCAGAGTGCTGCGCTTGCGCTTTGCGGGGCTGACAGAGTACCAAACGAACGGTGTTGGATCAATCGTGAGGTGGGCGACGTGGGCGGGCTTTATTATTTAGTTTCGTGAGGCTCTTGGACTGTCGAAAACACGACATTGGTCACATTAAAATTAACATGATTGACCAGACAGAGTTGTTGCACAGCCTTTGTTCTCTTCCCACCTCAGCGCAAGCACTCGCTGGTGAAACGTTGCTCCTGCCTTTCAACCGTAGACCGTGCTGCCCGACAAAAGTTCACCTCGCTATCAAATTATTATGTGTTGCAAGAAGGCCGTAGCACTATTCAGGCAACCTCAAAGGCACCCCTCGACAGCGAAAGAAAGACGCTCATGCACGCACCCGATGTACATTTGGAGGTTAAACATGGATGTGGATGTAGTGCTCCTTAGATGAGCACACAAAAGCAGATGCAACCTAAAAAGGGGTGAAGAAGATAACGAACTCCCCTGTTCCTTCGATAAAAAGCAAGAGAGAAGACCAAGCCTTCAGAAGCAAGAAAAACGACTAGCCAACCAAAAGACGCAGTCTCAGTGCGGTCAAAAACAGAAAATATTTGTTTCTCAAGGCCGTGAGAGGGTGTCATGGAGGAGGCTGAGCTATTCTCTGGATAAAAGACAGAAGAAATGGTAGCAACAGAGAGAGGAGAACTACGTGACTGTCAAGGCTTACTACTTGAACACGCGTTCGGAGTGTTTTCATCCTTCCTTAGAAGTATTTTATTTACCACCACTACTACATTCTTCACTAATATTTTCCCACTATTTTTCATCTCTAGATTCTGCGCCCCTGCGGCGTTTGTTGTGAGGAAGGTCATCTCGCTCGAAACTCTTGTTGTTCCCTTCAACGCCATATTTTCCTCCAGCATCATCACTGCTACCCTTGGCTATATTTTCCATATCCTTTGTCACTACCACCATCTTCCTTTTCGCTCGCCTCACTACTGAAATCCCAGCCTATTGGTAGAACCTGGTCGATCGGTAAACCGTGACATTTGAAGGCGTCACGCTTACCGAGAGAAACCGAGAGCTATACTTGTAGCTCGAAGGGAAACCGTCTCCGAATCCTGTTGACGTGGAAGGCTTGAGGCGAGAAAAGGCTGTGTGTGGGGTGTGAACCGGCACTATAGCGGGCAGCCCTCAATAGTGCCGGTTTGGCACTATTCAGGCCTGTGTCTGTGTCAAGAAAATTTACCGGCACTATACCGAACTTTGGCACTATTCAACCGGCACTATATCGGGACACCTACTGTAGCGGGATAATTATTTTGATTCTTGGATTTTCGCTACCGTCCTTCGAGGTTGCTATGCACCTAAAGTTTGCAGAGAACAAAGAGAGACAGGGCTTGCGTTTGCGAATCACAGTGGTGCGCACAAGAATCTCCGCATTAGTTCCGTCGTGCTTCATCGCCATGTATCTGTCAGCTCTGAAGGATCCTGAATCTCACCTATTGTGTGCTTTCGCTACTCTCCCCCCCCTCCGTCCACTCCCTCTTTGTTTGGGTTGCGCGGTGAACGGTTGGGTCACTATCGAACTTCTATAAATAACCCCCCGCGCCGCCGCTGCCGCCGCCGCCTGTGTTGTCGCTCTTTTTTGGAATCCTCCCTCGTCTTGAAAAAAAAGGAATCGGCATACGCAGGCGCGGAGAACCCCGTGCTGATGGAGATCGACATCCGCATGTCCGCACAAGACGTGTCCCTGTTGGTGTACCACCCGCCCTGCGACAACAACAAAAGCGCGGGCAAGAGTAAGGCCAGTTCGCGCGAGGTCGACCTCGGCCAAGGCGGCGACGACAACGACAGCATCTTTGCCGGCAGTTCCGACGGCGGCGATGACGGTAGCCTCCCCGAGATGGACCAGCTATCCAGGCAGCACAGCGGCGGCTCGGTCAAGCTCGGCGGCGACGACGGGGAGCTGGCGACCGAGGAGGCGTTGCGCCTCAGGGACAGCCTTCAACTGCCGGCTCTTGCTGCCTCGGTGGCGATAAACGTGAGGCAGCTAAGCCACACGGACGTTTAGAATTGCCCAAGTAGAAATGGCGTATGCAATCCGTTTTTTTTCACGCTGTGGTGTCCAATCAAGCGTATGGTACTTCTGCTGTTGTACGTGTTGCGTTTTCCTCGCTCTGCGGTGCTTGCTTGCCTCCGGCCGATTTTGTCGTCTCTTGCCAACCTTTTCGCTCCTCCAGCGAAGCACATTTCCGGTTTCTCCTGTACTTCTTCCCCACAATCGCGGTGCGCAAGACACGCCCACAATCTTCTTCGCCCTTTCCCTCCCCTCGCCGGTGTCGAAACTATGAAAGTCCGTCGCTTCCCCGCTGTAATAAAACACGCCGAACGCATGCGAATAAAAACCTCCTTTCCACAGGACTTCAAGTTCGGCTTCAACATGCTGATGGGTTCCGTCGCCGCGGAGGCCGCCACCACTCCCTGCGCGGAAGGGGCAGGAGAAGGAGGACCGTCCCCCCTCCCCGCCGGCGCCGCGGCCGGGGCCGGCGAACCCGAGGAAGAAGGCCCCGTGCAGCTCCACACCTTCTCCGGCACCCTGTTCCCGGACGCCCTTCCCATCCGCCTGTACAAGCCGTCCCGCCTCGGGCAGGGCGCGGACCTCCGGGTCGAGAGCTTCGGGGACAACGACGAGGTCGGCGACGGCGTCGCGGGCATGAGCCTGTCGCTCGTGCTGGGCGGGACGCGCGTGACGGACTTCGGCGCCCTAGAGGACGGCGGCGTTCTGCCGACTCTCATCGGCGGACCGGCGGCGGTGTCCGCCGCCGGCGATGGGGATGACTCCCACGCGGCGGGGGGGACGACCAAGGCCACCCTCGCGCTGTTCGTAGGGGGCCGCCTGGAGGCCGGCCTGGACTTCCAGAGCTGCACCGTGGTGGCCCTGCCGGGCAGGATCATGGCCATCATCGACGTCGTCCTGGCTTGCCTCATGGGGCCGCCGGCCGCCCGCGAGGCGCAGGAGCTGAACGCCCTGGAGGAAGAGGTGGAGGCGGAGGAGGCGGAGGAGGCCACGGGCGGCGTCGGGACCACGGAGGTGGTGGACGCCAGGTGGAAGGCGATCGACAAGGTCCGCGGCGCCTACCTGTTCCTGGGCAGGCTGGACGCCCGGTTCTCCGTCCGCGTGGACGCGTTCTCCCTGATCCTGCCGCAGGACTCGCGCGACGCGCGCACCAACGTGGTCATGGCCCAGGTGCGTGATGAGGCATGGGGGGGGTTGGCTGGTGCCAGGACGGCACGGGACGGGAAAGGCGTTTTTGTGGTTGAAACTCCGTTGTTGCGTTGTTCATCGTAGGTTGTTTGTGCTGTGTGCTATCCATGTCGTGTGTGCAACACCATGCAACGTCCGTGCTGCGTGCGGCATAGTGCGAACTTCGATGTCACAGGTGACCGACCACCTTGGCAGTTCACGGATAGCCCTCACGGGCGAGTCTACCGTAGGTTGTTGAGCTGCGCCCCCCTACCCGCGTGTTTGTCGGGAACAAGCTATTAATAGCCGACGTTTTTTTTCCCACACGTACCTACGGTGCCCACAGCATCTTGCATCTACTAGACCAAGGACACTGGCCGCCCAGTGGTGTAGTTGGCAACCTCGCAGTCTTCTGACATAGGTTTGAGGCTTGACGCAGTCACGCACGAATTGTTTTTTTCTCGCGTTTTGCCCACATACTTTGTGGATGTGGATGCGATTATTTCATGTGTGTACCCCAACATTTGACTTCACGGTCGATGAGGGAAAGCAAACGCTGCCGCATCCTCCTCGCCTGATATAGCAAAAGCACCGCAGAAGGCGGTAGACTGAGAGAAGGAAAGCGAAAAAATAGTCATGTGCGGCCTTCCAGCTGTATGACCGCGGCTGGCGCGTCCAAAAACATGCCAAAACGTGCATGAATCGAGGTCGAGAATACACGACACGAGATACCAACAATTAACAACACAACGACATCAACAACCCCTATATTCCGTCCTGCTAACCCCCCCGCTTCCCCGTTACAAATCCCCCGTGGTACGCACACCAGTGTTCGGCGTTGGCGTTGGACATGAAGAGCGGGAGCGCTTTCGAGGCCCTGGCGGTGAGCGTGTGCGACTTTTCGGTCGCGCCCTGTGTCCAGCGGCCGGAGGCCTCCGACGCGGCCATCGTTTCCTGCGGACGGCTGCACGAGACGGGTGTAGCGATCGCTCTCCGCGGGCCTCTGCCCGAGCTGCTCGAAGTCATCCACAGAGGGTTCCCTCTCAAGGTACTGCTGTACTCGCGAAGGGGTTATGATGCTGTTGGTGTTTGTAGCTGCGAGATGGATAATCGGTTCCCTTGCTGTGATTCATTTCTTCGTCAGATGGTTATTTTTATTTTCACGAAAAGGTTGTGATGCTGTTGTTGTTTGGGGTTGGGAAATGAATGTCGTTGCCTGTTGTTGGTGTGATGCCTCTTTTGGTCTTGTGGTTGCTGTAGGTCGTCGTTGTTGGTGGTGCTGTGTGCATGCGACTCCGAGAGACGCTGTTGTATCGTGAGCATGATATCAAAAGTGTGTGCTCTCGGCATCCGTGCCTATGAAAACCGATCCTCAGTCGTCGTCGCCGTTGTTGTTTGGATTTTAGGGAGAAAATCATTGTGTCGTGAACATACATGATACAAAAGTGTGCTCTAGGCCTTCAAATGAAACACAGGAGTGTCAAACCGCTTCAACCCAAAATGCTTCAAACAAACTCAAACGCTTCCAAGTAACCCAAAGGCCTCCTCCGACCGTAAAACGTTTCCCCGAACCCCAAACGATTCCCCCGACCCTAACGCCTCCACCCGAAATATGAAACCGAAATGTTTGGGTCGTTTTCCCCAGGACCTGGACCTGTTCCCCATTCCGGAGAGACGAATCATCCTCCCGGTGAAGATGAAGATCAAGTACTCCACCTACGTTGCCCTGACGGCCGGAGACACCCTCGAGGCTTCTACCGCTACCCTGGTGACGGACATGGTGCAGCGCAACAGCGAATCGGACCTCGCGGCCATGCACACGGCAGATGTGGTATGTGTATTGTGTGGGCGGTGATTGTTGTTGTCGTTGCTCGTGGTCATGCGAGCATAGTAGATCTGGTGTGTGTATGTCGTGGTGGTTGGTGTTTACGGGTGGTGACTGTTGTTGTTGTTGTTGTTGTTGTTGTTATTGTTGTTATTGTTGTTTCTCACGGTGTTGTTCTTACCGCGCTGCCTCCTCCCACAGCTCGATCCTGCGCCTCCCCCAACGGCACTGCAGCCGTTGCTACTGCAGCGAACACTGATTCAACAGAGTACTAGGCCTGGGCTAACATCTTTTACTTGTTTTCACCATCGCCTCATCGTCCCTCCCCCCACACACACACACAGGAGAAGCAAGAGCTGGCGGTGACTGCGCTGTCGGGGGGAGAAGAGGACCAAGCAGGCGGTGGCCCTACTTCCGCGGCAGCGGAAACCGACGGCAACACCACCGACAGCGCTACGGCTAGCGAGGTCCAGTCGGGTTGGCACGTCAAGATGGAAGTCCAGCTGCACGTCAGTTCGGGGCTGTACGTGAAGGTCACCGACCTCGACATCGCGGTACTGCAGGGCATCGCGACGTCGCTCATAGCGTCCCTCGGCGTCGGGGAGGCCGCCCCCCCCGCCGCTGGCGGAGCCCCCCCCGCCGCCGCAAGCGGCCAGTCGGCCGCTGGGAAGTCGCTGACGTTCGCGCTGGACAAGGCGCAGCGGCGCATGGTGGCCAGTCTCCGGCAGGCGTTCCGCCTGGCGGATGTGAACGGGGACGGAAACCTTGACCGCGCAGAGGTTGAAGGTGGGCATGGGTTTGTAGCTGGAAGGCGTGTGTGATTGTAGCTGGAAGGCGGAGGGACGGCGGGCGGGGCGGGGATCGAACTGGAACGTGCTTGTATGTAGCTCAAGGCGGGGGGAGGGGCAGGGATCGGACTGGAGACCGGAGAGCAACATGGAAAGTTTTTTTTTGTAGACGGGGATAGGGGCCACCGTAAAATAGTTGCGTTGAAGGTTTGTATGTAGACACCGTTCGCAAGACGGAAAGTATACTCTGGACGAGAAAATTACATCATCAGCTAAGGCGGGTTAGAAATTCCGATCTACGTACTGAGCCAGATCGCGAAACACTTGCAGCAATTTCTATTTGTGTGTGATGTCCCTTCGCGCCCCCACACTTGCTTTATGTATACCCCCTTGCCACAACCCCTTCCCACTACCGCTGCCCGCCGACGCCTTTCCCCGGTTTTCAGCGCTCCTGAGGCTCAATCTTCAGGGCCAGAACCTGGACCCCACGCAGACCGAGGCGGAAGTGCTCCAGTTCATTGCGTGAGTAGAGCACGCATACACTGAGAGCTGTTGTCGATGTCATCGTTGTTGTTCCGTCGCTGTTGTCGATGTCGTTGTTGTTTTCGCTGTCGACGTTGCCGTCTTCCCCTGAAACCACCGCCGTCGCGTCCCTCTCAAACACCGCCGCGTTCCAATCCCCCCATCCACCGACGACGACCCCGAAACCACCAGACTTTTGGACGCAGACGGCACCGAGACCCTGGACATCGACGAGTTCACGAGCACCATGATGCGGTTGATGACGGACGGCCCCGACGAGGTTACCCTCGCGCGTGCCCGGCGGCAGGCGCTGACGAAGGCCTTCGACGAGGCCGACACCGACGGGTCCGGCTCCCTCGACGCCGGCGAGATCTTGGAGCTCCTCAAGAGCTCGGACCCCCTCCGCACTCATTCGGAGTTGGACAGACAGGTACGCGTCCGTTTGGCCGGTACGGGTGTGAGGAGGTACTGAGAACAGACCGGAACCGTTTTTGATGTGAAGACGATAACAACTTTATGGGGATGCGGTGTCGGTCGACAAGCAAGGCAGGTTTACTCTTAGCCCCTCGCCCCGGTCCCATCCGTGCGCCCACTCACGCCTTCTGTTGTTTTGTGCGAGCAACGGGTCATGAGCGATCTGATCGCCATGCCGACGAAAAACCCTCCGCGCGAATCAACGAGTTTTATTTTGTCGAAGGCCTTGGTTCCTCTTCGTGAGCCGTTTCAACAACCGCGAACCATAGCACCCTCTCCTCCAACGCGCTGCGGTGTCTTTGACCGAATGTCCTGCCCGCTTGGTTTCCACTTTGTGTGTGTGTTGCCGCGGCGGCATAGGTGAGTGGTTACATCGAGGCCGTCGACGTGGACAACGACGGCCAGCTGGACCTGGAGGAGTTCATAGAGCTTGTCCAGAGCATGCGCGAGGGGGGTGTTCACGAGGGGCCGCTCGAGCCCAAGGTGAGCGTTCTAGTGTTGAGTCTGCATTGTTGTTGTGTTGTTGTTTCGTTGTTGTTGGTGTTGTCGTTTTCGTTGTCGTCGTCGTCGTCGTTGTTGTTGATGTTGTTGCTGTTGATGTTGATGATGATGTTATTGTTGTTGCTGTTGTTGCTGCTGTTGTTGTTGCTTTTGTCGTTTTCGTCGCCGTCGTCGTCGTCGTCGTTGTTGATGTTGTTGGGATGGGACCTGGTGCCTCCCCGTGCCACGTTCCTCTACCAGTGGTCGGTTTACACTCCTGTCCTCATCGACGAATACAGTAACCCTGTGCCTGTCAACTCTCTCCCTGGTCAGCCCGCCATTGTTCACACGTGTGCGTGGCGCTGAGAAGGTTTGCTTCGTTGCAGGCTTGGCATCTTGTCTATTTTCACTCAGGGGCAGGAAATACAAGGCTTAGGCGGCGATGTTTGTCGATATCCTCAACCCAGCATCCCCCCCCCCCCCCCCCCCCCCGGCTTTCCCCTTCTTATCCCCTGGCGCACCAGGCCGAGGAGTTCCGATCCTGGGAAGTCATCAAACCGATGCTCGAAGGTTACAAGACTCTGCCCGAGCTCCTGGCTGCGCGGCCGCCGGACTACTCCCCCCCCGGATTCTGGGAGCTGTTTGAGGCCGAGACCCACGCGACGAAGAGCGGATCAGCCGGACAGCTCGCGGAAGCTGTGCAGGTGCGAGCAGGCAGGGGTAACAGGGGCGGGGTAGAGAGCGGAACGGCGGCGGCGGAGGGGTTACCGTTCGTTGCTTGCGCTTTTTGGCTTGTAGTACGTTGTCGATTGCTCTTCACGTGGCAGCGTTTTTTTCTCGTTGGTGCTGCAGTGATCAAGGCGTCACGTGCTGGGAAAGAGGGCAGCGAGTGCTGTTGTAGGGTGCAAGCGGGTCGAACGTGCTCTCACGGCGCACGAACAGCAGTGTGCGGGCATGAAAGTCCAGATGCGTGTGCAGTATGCCCCCCGCCCTCCACGATTTTGTAACCTGCACGTGGTGAGGACAGCCTCTTCTCCATACTGCTGTGGGTGTCATTTCTACCAGAAACACCAGTAGCTCGTCGTCCCTCTCTCTCTCTTGCTTTGTCTCGACGTCCTGCCGACGATCGTCTGACCCGCTTCCTTTTTCGCTACACCCCCCCCCCCCTACCTCTCTTTCACTGCGGAACCCCCGGCTTCTTTCTTTCATTTTCCGACAGGCGAAAATGGTCAAGACCTTCGAAAACTACGGCTTTGCCGGCGACGCCTGGTCGTTCCTCGTGGCGCCGGCCTGGTACCCCGGCGTTGTGCGCGTCGGGTCCCTCGCTGTCGCTGGTGGCGAGGCCGGTGGCGGCGGCGGCGGCGGAAGATCGAAGGCCGTCGGTCCCCAGCAGATACCGGCGCCCGTGCGACCCGGTGCGCTCGTGTACGCGCAGGAGGTATGTGCGTGGGGGTATCTCCCCACTTTACTCTTGGCCGGCCTCCTCTCTCGTAGCTAGGGAACGAGGAGGGGGGAGCGGGGGGAGACCATTGGCCATATCTAGGAGCCTGGCGGGGGGTGGGGGGTATTGATTGGGTGGTTCTTTTCATCCACGTGCATGCCCTTATTTTTTTTGGAGAGTAGGGGGGGGGGGTTCGTTGAGGGCGCCCCTGTTTTTGCTTCTCCACGCATCGTCACGCGTGAAGCAATTATTTCACGGCAGCATCCTTATCATCACCAACACAGTCACAGAACCATGGGCGACTAACGAATCGAGTATCAGCTGCGCGTGAATCAATGTCGCGCGGCACGTAACTAACTCTGTTTTGTGTGTAAATCCCGCCGGCTCACCGCCGCGACTCCCCTCGCGCGCGTGCTTGTCTTGTCTCTTCGCCTCCGTCCTCGTTCTCACCTCTTTCGCAACTCGAATGACCACGCCGACTCCGTTCTTTCGCGCGCCACGGCGGTGACCACAACACACTGGCCGTCACCGTCACCGCCCACTACTACGGCAACGCACGCACAGCACGCGTCTAGCTCACGCCGGGCTTCCCCGCCCCCCGGTGCCCTGTCGGGCATGAGAATCCAAAGGCTGCCGGAAGAGCTGGCGGCCCCGCCGGCGACCCCGCCGGCTGTAGACCCCCTGTTGCTGTCGACGCCGCCGCCAGCGGAGAAGTACGCGACCGGCGTCAGGCTCCCCGCGCCGGGGGGAACGGGCCGGAGGCGCTCCATGCGGGGGGGGGCGTCGTCGGCGTCCCCGCCGGGCGTGAGGATGGAGATCGACAGGCCTTGCACGTTGCTGGTGTGCTTCCACGACGAGCACGCCTCGGCGGGCGCCGGGGCCGGCGCCAAGAGCGGCGTTGGCGGTGAGGGGCAACCCAGGCTCACCGGCGCGCGGAGCACGTCTTCTACGTCGTCCGGCGGTAGCAGGCTGGATGTCCCGAAGTGGGCGGATGAGATGGGACTCCGCAGGACCGGCATGCACGTGAGAGACGCCTGTAGATGGGTGGGCGGGCGGCATTGTGGAACACAATGTATGGGTCTTGGCCAGCAGCTTCTGTTTGCTTTTTTGGCTGGTCGGGCCGCCGATTTCGTTGGTTGCGGTTACGGTTGGGGTTGGCGAACTCTGAACCTTTGCCCGCCCCTTTTGTGACGTGCTAGTGCCAACCGACCGACCGACCGACCGACCGACCGACGGTTTTACGTCCGCGCAACCAACAACCGCCCCTCCTCGCACGTACACACTCGACAGATTGATACCGTCCTCCCGGGGGACGGAGACAGCGCCAGCACCACCGCGCACGTGTACCGGGTCTTCTCGACTCCGATCGCCGCCGGCGCCGTCGAGCTCGGCCCAGGCCTCCCGGGGTCGCTGCCGTACTTCGTCCTCCTCTACGGAGGAAACCACCTCACCCGGCGCACGTCTCGGACCCCCCACGGCCGCCTGGCCGTCCAGCGGCCGGTGCGGGCGGTCACCGACAGCGGTCGCGGGGGCCGGCGCGTGCTCCGCTCGCTGTTCCGGAAGCACAACCTCGCCTTGGGGGGCAGCGGCAGCGGCGGCGGCCGCGGTGGCAGCAGCATCAACAGCCTCAGCCGCCAGAGCCGCGGGAGCTCGGCGGGGGCGGTGGTCTCGTCGTTAGACCGGGGGATCAGCGGGGAGAGCTTCGAGATGACCCCGACGACGGCGGTGGAGGGTCTGGGTCCGGCGGCTCCGCCGGAGAGGCGCACGAGCATCGTCAGCATCGCTGACAGCGTCGGCCCCGCGGCCACGGCGGCGGTGGTGAACGGAAACCCTTCCTGGCAGCTGACGCCGGAGTACAGCCTGGGCGGGGCCACCCGCGGCGTTACCTCCATCGGCGCCAAGGCCGACAAGAATGCCAAGATGGCGGCGAGCACCGCGATGAAGATAGCCGCGATCTCCTCGGCGGGGACCACGGCGGCCAACGCGGCCAGCGGGGCCGGCGGCGGGGCCGGCGGGATCGAGGTCGCCAAGAAGCCGAGGGTCCGGCTGAAGGTTACCCTGCTCTGCGAGCACGGCATCTTCGTGCAGATGGACGACATCCACCGGCTGGAGAACACCCCTTCCGACGACTCCGCGGCGCCGACCTTCGAGCTCGCCCTTGGGGTGCCGTGGCAAGACCGCGGCGGCGGCGGCGGCGGCGGCAGCGGTACCAAAAACGCCAAGTCTCCGTCGCCGTCGCCGGGGAGCGTGCCGTCGGCGGCGGCGGCGGAGGCGTCGCCGCCCTCTACGGAGGCGTTGGCGGCGACCCTGGACTTCGAGCACGTGGCCTCGTCGGAGATCCTCGGGGACGAGGACAGCATGTGCATGGACGCCGCGTTCGGCATAGAGGGGAAGTACTTCAACCCCAGGGTGCACCAGAGTGAGCACTTCATCGAGCCCTGGAGGTGGGTGGGGTTCCGAGCGAGGGATGGTTGGTGCACATGGCGGTGCCCTGGCTGTTGTGTTTACTGGTTCTCCGACTAGAAGAACGTCCTGGCCAAAAATTCGGAATAGAAGAACGTTCTGGCCAAGATTGCGGCCCTCGTGATGTCAGCTGTCGTTTAGATAAAGGGGTCCCGGCCAATATACACCGGAGTCGATTGTGTGTGTTGCCCACGACAGGTTGATGAGAGTGTCGATAGGCTTACCTAAAGGACACCCTTCTGGAGAATAGTCGGAGATTGAAACAAATGACGAGGTGTTGCGCGTGGATACGATACGATCGATGGATGTGTCGGTGGAGAGAGGAGAGGGATGTCGCTGGATGGATGTATGAGGACAGAGCGCTCTTGCTCGTTACCGCAAGCGTGACTGCTGTGTTCATCTCGAGGGTCGAGTAGAAACATGGGGGCGGCGGCGTTTAAGTGAGACACGCAAACCAGCTACACTACTGCTGTACATACGGTACCTCCGGTAGATCGACGGTTTGCCTGTAAACGGTGTACCCTTCGCTTGCTTTATGCTCGCCATCGTGAGCGTCGTTCGCACTTTTATCACCACCTCTTGATCGTTATTTGCCTTCGCACGCCTGGCGTCTCCGTTATTCATTTCTCCTCCGCGTGACCCCCCCCCCCCCCCCTCTCCATGACGCCCCTTCTTGTCTCGGCTTTCAGCATGAGCATTCAGATGAGCGACCCTCGCGGAGAGTCGACTCCCCGAGGTCAGATGATCGCCGACCAACACTTCGTGCTGAACGTTACGACCGGCCTTACCTCGCTAGCGTGCAGCATCATGGAATCGCGAGACTACGCCAAGACGAGGTGGGCAGGCAGGCACTGGACTCGTCGCTTATTGAATTCACGACATCGACTCTAGTCTGTCCAGACGCGACAGATAGGTCGTCTCGTCGCCAAGTCTAGCGTTGTTGTTGCCGTTATCTTCACATTCAAAACGGTTTCCGATTTCAAAATATGTATGTATTCACGCACAGCAGTAGTGGTTCCCTGTATTAGGTCTCAAGAATTTTGGGCGGTCGCCATGTGCAAGACCGGTGAAATCGCTCACCTCTTTTTCTGCGCGCGGGGCACAGGTACTCGACGACGTCGGTGTACACCGAGCTGAGAGACGGCAACGACGGCGACGACGGCACACGCCTCCTCACCATCGAGAACCACCTGGGCGTTCCCGTCAGGGTTACCCTTGAGGACGACGCCTCGTCATCAGGGGCGGCGGCGCGTGAGAAGGGTAGGCCGTTCGGCTTGAAGAAGGCCGGGTGAGTGGGTGGGGATAGGTACAAGGCGGGAACGGCTGGTACAGATGGGCGGGGAAAGTAGAGCTTGGATACGGTGGCTGCAGTGGTGGAAGGGTTTGACGAGAAACATGCCGCTAAAAAAAAGAAATGCATCATCCAACAATATTGGGGATCCACACAAAGAGCTCGATAGACGCGAGGGAGTTGGTTTGTTGGCGCGAAAATAAGCTCAAACCTCCCTTTGTTTTGTTTCGTCGAAGGGGGCGCTACTAGGCTTTAATGCCGGTACTTGTGGCTTGAGCACGTGATGAACTGAGTAGAGTTGGTCGATATGTTTAAGGAGACAAATATACATCTACACGTAGGGAGGCATACATACAGAGGTAATACAGGATTGAGGAGGGGTGCTGGCGCACCTTGTCTTGACCATCGTGTCGGTACGTGCGTGAGGTTTCTACGCACCTCCTTTTTGTCTGAAATTGTGATGTGTTAGGGTCGCTGTCTGCCGAGACCCTGAAGCAGAAAAGCCTTTCCACCCGCGGACACGTGCGATGGACGACGGCAAGTATGCCACATGTCTACTACATGAACGGCACGTTCTTTACGTGGAACACGGCAATATTGCCACATGTCGACATGAACAGCATTTGCTCTGCCTGCCTGCTCCCTTCGTGTGTTTTGGTGTCTATCTCGCCGCGTCTTGCTTGACGTGGGTCCGTTGCCGCGCTTGCACGCGTGTGTGTGTGTGTGCGTGTCTCGCAGGAGGCCTGCCGCCGCACCAGAGGCACCGGCAGACGCCACGAGCGGCAACTTCTGCCGGATCGCCTCCACGCTGTACGATCAACAAGAAGGAGGGGGAGAGGACGGACCGCCCTCGGACCGCGTCAGCGTGGGCGAGCTCACCGTGCCCAACGCCAAGATGGCGCTCCCCACGGCGACGGTGACCATCAAGGCTAAGGGCTTCGAACCGGTGACGGGGGTCCCTCTCGATCTTCTCGGCCGCGGGACCCACGTCTACAGGATGACGAGATCAGGGGTGAGACGCATAAGGGGGGGGGGTCATGTCGTAGTCGGGAGGCCATAGACCGACCTCGCCGCCGGGACGGAGCGATATGCAGAGTTTTCGCCGGCCCAGGCTA